ACGAGTTACTGCCGATCGCAGAGTTCGCACTCAATAATGCTCCTAACGCTTCTACTGGCATATCACCCTTCTTCGCGAACAAAGGCTACGATCCCTCTATTACGATTCATCCAGAGCGTGATGTGGCTAATGTTTATGCTAAGGACTACGTCGTCGATCTCCAAGAGCTGCACGAGTTCCTCAAGGAACAGATCAAGTATGCTCAGGAGCAATACAAAGAGACTGCGGACCGGAAACGCATTCCGGATCCGTCTCCGTCTATTGGTGATGAAGTCTTTATCTCGACCAAGTACATCAAGACCAAGCGTCCGACTCCGAAGTTCTCGGAAACGCATTTTGGTCCCTTCGAGATCATCGGAAAGCCCAGTGCTGCGTCCTATCAAGTCCGTCTCCCGAAATCTCTTTCTCAAGTTCATCCCGTCTTTCACGTTTCCCAAATCGAAATCCACACACCCAACAAATTCCCTGGTCGCGAAGAGCCACCACCTGCGGCAATTGAAGTCGATGGAGAAGAACATTTCGAAATCAAACAAATCGTTGACTCCAAGATTGATCGCCGTTTCAAGGGTCCGGCTCGACTCCGCTACCTGGTCGAATGGCTTGGTTACGAGAACACTGACGAACAATTCACTTGGGTTGGTGCACCTGACTTGGAAGCTGAAGAGTATATCGAATCCTTCCATCGTCAATACCCCAACAAGCCTAAGTTGGACTAACGTCACTCAACTCAAATCTCACTCCGTTCCGGATCTTCGAGATAAGGAAATTATAATTCTATTTACACTATACTTCTAATATCGTCCTTTTTTTCGATTCCGCCCCGAGGCGTCTCCGACTCCGCTACTCAGCTCTCCCCTTTCCCTTGTCAATCTTCGCCGGGGGCTCCTCGTCCACATCCATTGCGTCATCTTCCTCGACTTCTTTCACTTCCTCCTCGTACGGCTCGCCCTCTCTGCGTCCACGGACTCCGAGTCCGTCCTGTCCCGAGTCCGCCACCGATGGCCTTCCTCCTGGATGAACGCGTCCCAGTGATCGAGGGTTTTCTCGATACCCTGGACGTGCTCGGCCACTTCTTGCGCCGTCGTTGCCAAGTTGATCCCGCCGACGTCGTGGCGAATCTCGCGGCCAAGGTTTTGCAACCCCATGACCAGCCGTCCGAGTTGTTCGTGGTCTTGGGTTTGGCGCACCAATAGGTCGGCCAGTACCGCGGAAAGCGCCGCGTTGCTGAGCGTCGGAATCGACGACTCCGCAGGCGTCTCCGCGGGTACTTCCTCCTCCTCCTCGACCGCTCTTGGCACCACTCGGATCTTCGATGGCCCCGCCGCCGTCTTTTTCTTCGCCTTCTCTTTTGTCATCCCGGCCTCCTTCTCGTCTTTGCGGAAACGCAGGGGCGGGGTGCCGTCCTCGGCAACGTGCCTTGAGTTTTCGGCACCTTTCGCAAGACATCTTGCCGTGCCAGGTGGTATTGGCCTTCGGCACGCGCCATATGCACGGGACGCCAGCCTTGACGCATTTGAGGCATTTCTCTGCCAAATCGGGTCAGGATTATATTTCAAAATTAATTTTGGCACTTACTTTCGCCTTCCTCATCGACTCCTGCAATCGACCCATCGGTCTGGGCTTCTTCGGCGTTCTCGGGATTCTCGCCTCGAGCCTCGACTCGGCTAATGATCTGGGTCTCGGCGGCCTCGCGATCACCACGTGTAAGTGGGCCTAGACCCTGGCGTAGCCTAGCCTGTACTCGGCCTCGGGCTTGCTCGGCTCGGCGTCTCTGCTTCGCCGCTTTCGCTTCCTCTCTCCGTCTCCGCCTAGCCTCGGCCCGCTCCTGCTCATCGGCCCGGCGTTGATGCTCACGGTAACCCAGTGAGATCTGCTCAGCCATCTCCTCTTCGTTATACTGCAGCGGTGCCACGATTGATCCGCGCTCGGATGACGACTCCGATATGCGCTCGTGGTTCGCTGGGTCTTTTGGGTCGTACGCGAGCGACTCCCCATCTTGTGAAGGTGGCACAGGGACTCCGTGCCTTGCGCGCTGCCGGAGAACCTCGTTCTCTCTCCGCAGGTCATCCATCTGCCCCCGCATCTCCCACCTGTGGGTTTAGGCTCCCATCAGGCAGGACGTCAGCCAGGGCCCGCGCTACCTCCTCATCCACCCAATCCCCTACCCTCTCCGTCTCCGATATCGTCGATACCGCTTCGACGTCTTCTGCGAATAGGTTCGGCACGTAGTCGATCTTCTCGCTGTCTTGCGACATGGTGGTGTGGGTAAAAGATGGAGAGATTGATGTCAATCCGGTGACGTGCTTCTTGTCACCCGTTTCCTTTTCCGTCCTTCTTGCTATTATCACGTTCTCACCGGCTTCCTCGGTGATCTCGGCCTCTCCGGCTTTCGACTCAAAATTTTCACAAGTCCAACTCTGACTCCGACTCATTTCGATTCCGACTCCTACCTCTACGACCATTGCTCCTGTTTCTTGTGGGCAAGAAACGCAAGAGGGGGATACTGTTATATCCGTGCCGACTCCGGCATCCGTCTCCGATATCCGTCTCCGGTATTTGGTTTTTACGCAATGAAGATTTACTGAGCGTTTCCAATTACTCCGACTTATGATCTATGCAATCATCTATGCCTTGTTCCTCGTATGCAACTCCTCTTCTACTTTACTTGACTTTGTTCTAATCTTGTTACTTACTTTGTTATACCTTATTCCGTTTCCGTTACTTCTCGTACTATAAATACTTTGATGTATTATCACATACTTCAGTTTGTAAATTAACGTTGCTGGTCTCTATCTCCCAGCGTCGTCTCGACTCCGCTCTTCCCTTCTTGTCTTGTCTTGGTCAACTGGAAGCCCCGGTCACCCAAACATCCTTCTGTGGTGTTCCGCCCCAAGTGCTCTACGACTTCGATTCCGTTTCCGACTTCGACTCCGTCTCCGTCTCCGTCTCCGTCCCTCTGGTCGACACGGCACTTAACATCAGCCCAGATGCCCACAAGGGGCATCTTTTGGAAGCACGACACCGCGTTAGCGGCGCGTGACCCGGAGATGCGGTGCGGACCGGCGCGAGAACGACCGGTGGAGCGCGGGGAAGCCTAGGCCGGGGTGAACGTGTTCGCCGCTGACTGATGGAGGCGCTGGAACTGCCAGCGATTGGGCAGTGCCGTTAACGCGCAAGACAGCGAGGATGGAAGGGTGGGTGTGGAGCACCCGTGTGGAGCGATAAGGACGTGTATGACGCGCGTCAGATGGCGGGAACGAGCGCGACAAGAGCGCGCGTCGGTGGACACGTGACCGAGCGACGGCGCTGCGGCGTAGGCCGATCACGGAGGCCGATCAAGGGGCCGGACCGGCGGTGCTTCCGCCTCAGCAAAAACATCAAGGAGGCGCTTTTGGCGCATCAAGGGGAGCATTAAGCCCCTGGAATGGAGAGCGGTGTGTCAAGGAGTTAGAAATGGAGGGTACTGCGTCAAGGAGACGCGTCAAGGGGCTCCATTTTGGGGTTTAACCTTGCAATTTAGCTCCGCAGGCCGAGCGCGGGGGCCGATCACGGGGTCGCGTCTCGGGGAACATACTCAAGAGGATCAAGGAGTCAAATTCAGGAGGGGCCCGATTGTCGGGGCCACCCCCGCGATGGTTTGAACGCTGACCAATGCTGGGCACCTTGTAATATAAATTGGGCAGGCATTGTAGTAGTACAGGAGTGAAGTTTGGCTTGCCCCGGGCCCTCGCGGGGTTGTGTTTTGGTTCCGTTACGTTGTCTCCGTTATCGCCGCTGTCTACGATTGTCTCCGTTATCGCCGTCTGGTCCGTTAAGTCCGTCTCCGCCGTTGTATTGTTCCGCCGTTGTCCCCTCCGTTCCGCCTCAAGTCTTGTGACTGTGTTCAACCCCGTGCCCCAAAGTTCAAGATTACCTAATCGCCTGCATTGCGCCCTATTACATAATCGACTCGAAGTTGTTGTCTGAATTGCAACTGCTATATACTTTAGTAGGAGCCCCCGAACTTGCGCGCTTGTGAAAAACCAAACTACCCCAAATCAAACTCCGACGTGATCCGATTGATCCGACTGATCCGAAGCTCGGCATAGGTGGTTTAGGTCCCAAATAGGTTGTGTGTTGTGTTGTGTGTGTTTGTTTGTTCGTGTTTTGTGTAGGAGTTGGGTTTTGTGTGGTTTTGTGTTTCTCTTTTAGTGTCTGTGTGTGTTCACCATTCCAAGCGTTTCAGAGCCTTAAGGTAGGGTCCTGGCAGTGCATAGGGATCGATGAATGGTGAAGCCTAAGTTCAGTATGTTGAAACCCATACTAAAAGGCCAAGTATTGGCCTACAAGTGTGAGAATCAAGGCCCAGCACATCGACAACATACAGCGGGAAACGATTCAAGCGAGCGCCGTATTTTCATGCCAATTCCGGTACAGTCAGAACCCTCTTGTGCGTTGTTTGTCTCTTTTGTGGACTCAATATCGTGGCGGTCAGAAATTCCCTACGATACTTGTATTGTCAGTAACTTGCGGATGTCGGATAAAGGACAGCTCACCAGCTGCTCTTCCTCCAGCTCAGCAACCCAGCCTTTCAGCCCGCCTCCTCCCGCCGCATTTCTCCAAGCATCTCCTTGCATTTCCCGCCAGTTATGGTCAATGACTATTGCCAACTCTCAAACGGCGTTGTGGCAAAAGCCTCCAAAAGCCGCGTGAAAGGATTATGCGACGCTGATGTATTGCAGCTCTTGCGCTCTTATTGTACGGCTGCACAACCGTTAGTGACGTCGAGCCGGACGACGTCATGGTCGCGAAGAAGCGTAGGAAGTCGGCCTGCAGCCTGAGCGCCGCTCAACGGGTGCATCATGTGTGGAAGAAGGGAAGAAAGGCCGTAAATTGTGATTGTGATTTCACTTTTCTGGCTGTGACAACTTTTATACACGACAGCCTACGAGCCATACGACTTGAGTTCTCTTTGCATTGAACGGTGCGACTGCTGAGCGCACAGGCATTACATGATTCCTTCAAGCTACATTCTGTACCGGCGTCAATACCAGCGGCAAGCCGCTCCCCCTATGCTGCCCCGCGACAACCACCGGACGCTGCGTAATCCCCCCAAAACGTCGCCCGATTGCACTCTCGGGGACCACAGGGCCGATTTCGAAGGCGCGAATCAAGGTGAACAGGATAATCTTCAGCCTGCGGCCAGACCACGTTAACCACTATCTGATTGTGGGGGTAAACAGACACGCACTCGAGGAGGGCCAGACGAAACCCGACGCAGTTGTGCGTTTTCGCAAGGAAAGTGAAGATATTTCCCCAGATACTAGGGACCTCGCGCGCCGCCGCGGGGATATTGTCCCAGCGGTCGGGCCTGTAATAAGTAGGTGCTTCAAGTGTGTTATTGTGGACCACCTCACTTGAACTCTAGCGCGTCCTCGCCCCACGTCTCGGTGGATGTGTTGACACCCCCAATGGGAATATGCACCATCTGACCCTTGCGTATTCTGTATGATCTCCTGAGCCACGAGACTCCAGACAAGCTAAATGCGCCTACGGTAAGCTCCAGTGTGTTCTTCCCTCACGATCGACCACGGGTTGAGCGAGCGGCAGCACGTCGTCCATAATTGCCTGGCGGGCCGTCGATGGAACCGGTGCATACAGCCGCAGTGTCTCGCGGACAACTTTCTCGAGGAAGGGCAATCCGTTCACTTCGTCGAACGTAGGGTTGTCCGTGCTGATAGTAAGCAGCTCTTCTCGCAGCGTACTCTGCATTTGTTTGTTCAGGGACAGGGCATGCAACGCCCAAGTTGTCGCACTGCTATAAATGGAGTGTCAATGCAGACGACATTGTTGTAGAATGAGGTGAAGAACCTGATGCTTCCATTTCCCGCGATGAACAAGGTCGCGATTTCTATGAGCGGCGCTGCACTCAGTGCACTGGCAGTTGGGAGCGGAAAGACGCACGAGATATAACCTCTGAACCGCTCAATCGCTGGCTGTCGGGTAACTCGGCGGATATGTTGGCCTTCATAAGAAGCGAAAGTAAGTCACGTTTCCCCTGGCTGGCTGCTGGATCCGCTTCCGTTTCCAGGAGGGAAGCCTTGTGATTCTGGACAATCTTTGCCCCAGTTTTCGCCAGCCGAGTGCGGGCCAAGTTGGTGATATAGCCTCCTGGCAGTGGCTATATATGGTTAGATATATACATAATGATATACTGGGACAACAGAACCACTCACTAGAAACCTCAACAGAGGCATTTGTATTTGCACCAACTTAAGCTTCCTGTAAAGTCCCGCAGACGGCGAATGGAACAATTCAGTGATCGTATGATGTAGGTCATCGTGCTTGTGCGCCGCCTGTCGAACTCCCGGCGGCTGTAAGGCGTTAAACTCGTGTCCAAAACCTTCAAGTTTTATCATTATTTAAAAACCACGAGGTTGCAGTAGTACTGACCTGTAATACCGATAACGTCGAGTGCCATCTCGCGGATGCCTGAGAACACATCAATCGTTGTCCCTTTACTCCTTGCAAGTTTGTCGCCGTCGCCGGCCTGAGAGCCGACTTGATCGATCCAGATGTCACGTAGCTGGAGAAATAAGTGCGGAAGAAACTGAAGGTCATAAACCATGCTCGCCTGGATGGCTTTCCCCACGATCATTTCCGTCATGTCCCGAATTTGCGGGATGCCAAATGCAGGATTCTGTTGTACAATGTATGAGGAGGCCAAGCCTGAGTGTAAATGAGTTGACGCACAATAACACGTCTCTGAGAGAAATGTTTCATCTCAAAATGTTGGGTGTGCATGTAAGGAGGCTCACTTGTCGCTTATGCTGTTCGGATTCCGCAAAGAGTAAACCTACGAACCAGCAGTCAGAAATAGCCAGATTTGTCACGTTCGCGACCCACGGACCTTCCCCCATCACACCGCGTATGATCTGCTGGAACGCTACCGGGCGATGATATATCTCCGTCTTGGCCATGATATGGTTCAGTGCTTTGAGGTCCGCAGTATGCAGTCGCGAAATCTCCCGGCCCCCTATAAGCGTCCAGTTATCAGGGAACGTCAAGGCTGAACATACCCCAAATAGACCGTGCATGAGGAAATTGTTCCCGAAGTCTTTACACCACTTGGCCATCAGGGCCATATCCTACGAGATATAGAGAATCAACTTAATACGGTGTTGACGCGCTGCCCACCTCTATCTGCTTCGAGTTTCCGAGGATTATGCTGTGGATTGGAGGGGCGGGAAGAATGGCGTGGAGCGGCGAGGACAAGTTGGTGTAGAGTATTATGACCGCGTTGATGGCGACGTAGATTGCGAGGGCCGCCGCGCAGCCAGCAACAACTTGAGCACCAAGGAGCACTTGGGCACTCATATCAGTAAGAAGTTGCCAGCCTTGCATTCGGACGGCCTACCTTTATGCATATCTGCGGCTTCCCCTCCTCGGCTCCTGATTTGAAGACTCATTTTAGCCGTGTTCTGGCCATTCCATCTGCACCAGAAGCCTGAGGATCGTATCTATGAGCTCTCCAGGTCCGACTACTTGTCCGACTACTTACGAGTATAGTATTAAATGCTGATTCGGGGGATTTCGAGTCAGATTCGGGAAACTACTGTAGAAGTGTAGTCGTAATAGCTTAGGTTGTTGTGCGGCGGGAGAAGCATGAGCCAGTCTTCGAAGCAGGAGCAGAGAACGCTGACGTCACGTCACGTCACGTCATCACGTCAAGAAATCACATGACTCGCAGAGCGAAAATTTTCACCCTCCTCCGATACGGAGTATACTATTCTCGTTACTCCTCTTCGACAATGCTAGCTCAAAGGATGGTCTGTATTGGCCTTAAAACAAGCGGTAGCCCCGAGCCCTTGTGTTGCTCCGCCAAAACAGCAGGTCGCTGCATAACTCCTGCAGTCACCGGCCCTATCCCGCCCTCAGGCAATGCAGGGCTAACTTCAAAAGCGCGAATCAACGTGAAGAGGATAATCTTCAACCTAACCATCGTCATTGGTACACGCAAAACAAAAGCGTTAAGAACATACTCAGCAATGGAGAAGCGGAAGCCGATGCAGTTGTGTGGGCCCGCGAAGAAGGTGAAGAGGTTTCCCCAGACGCCGGGGACGGCACTCGCTGCTTCAGGGATATTATCCCAGCGGTCAGGTCTTCGAGTGTCAGCTGTTGGTACGACCACGCAGAAGATGCTTACTTGAACTCAAGCGCATCTTCGCCCCAAGTGTCCGTCGCCGTATTCACCGCCCACATCGGAATATGGATCATCTGGCCCTTCCGAATGCTACAGCCATATCAAAACACGGTCCATCCACTGGAAGCACATACGGTAAATTCCAGTGTTCTCGCCCGTTGCTATCCACCACCGGTTTCGCCAACGGCAGCACATCGTCGGCCATAGCCTTGCGCTGCATGAACATGACTGGCGCATAGAGCCGCAGAGTCTCGCGGAGCACTTTCTCCAGGAACGGAAGCCCGTTGACTTCCTCGAAAGTAGGGTTGTCGGTGCCAACCGCAGCAACCTCGTCGCGGAGCCTGTCTTGCACCGGCTTGTCCATAGATAAAACATGTAAAGCCCATGCTGTCGCAGCACTATCTTAAAGGGTGAGCTATACATGTGGCTTAGAAGACGAAGACCATAAGACCTCGTAGTTTCGTGTCCAGCTACAAAAAATGCAGGAATTTCTGGGACCAACAGATCGGATGAGCCATATCGACGAAACAAAAGCACATACGCGAAATTATTTCCGCCTCGCTCAACCGCTGGCTTTCCGGAAGCCCCGGCGACATATTCGACTTGAGCAGGATCGAAAGCAAATCGCGCCGCCCCCCCAACGCCTTGATCTTGTCCTCCTGGTTTTGCTGGTCCGTGAGGAGGCGCGCCTTGCTCTCCTTGATTATTTGCCTCCCGATCGTGTCCATGCGCGTGCGGGCGGAATGCGTCACTTGTATTCCGGGAAGTGGCTGAAAGTTGATTGGTTATAAACCAGTCTGAAGGAACGGATGTGACAAACGAGGAGCTTCAAAATCGGAATATGTCCCTGTGCCAGCCGTATAAGCCCATACAAATTCGACTTGGGTGAGTGGAACAGGTCCGTGAAGACCTGGTTAAGCTCGTTGTACTGTCCCCCGGGCTCTAGCGCGTTGAATTCATAGCCAAATCCTGGAGGAAAGATTCATCAGGTAACTTACCACTGCAAACTGGCCTACCTGCGCGACCAATAACGTCCAGTGTCATCTTGCGAAGACCCGAAAACACCTCGACCACACCCCCCCTTTCCCTTTCCATCTTGCTGCGCAATCTCGGCCGCCCAGATATCGCGCAACTAGCGGAAACCGTTAGCTACGATACGCCGAATAACCAATTTTATGTTCACCTGAATTGCTTTGTCCACAAAAATCTCCGTTGCGGCTCGTATTTGCGGGACACTAAAAGCGGGATTCTATCGTGATGTCTTCGGCCTGAGATCTGGAAAGCAAGTGAAGCTTACCATAACGCGCCTCTGAGGAGTCGAAGCTGAGCACAGAAAAGTTAAATGCGTAGAAGTACACTTACATGCCGCTTATGCTGCTCCAGCTCCGCAAAGAGTATACCTTGAGGTTGTACTTGTGAACAACTTGAATCCGTAACAGGAGTAAAAATCACACGCACCTTCGCCCATTAAACGACGAGAATTGTCCCGGTTGGCGGTGGCTCGCTGGTAAATTTCAGCATGGGACATGATGTGGTTGAGCGCCTTGAGGTCAGACGTATGCAGCTCGGAAATCTATTAGAGCCCCATGAGAACGCGGTGTCGACGACGAGCGAACGAGAACGCACACTGAACAGTCCATGAAAGATGAAGTTCTTCCCATACTCTTCCCGCCATCGGCTCGAGAGACGCGCATCCTCCTGGCAACTGTCAGAGACGGTAAAGAAGGGAGTCGAAGTGGTATACCGCCATCTCCTTGAAGTTGCCAATGAGCAGGTTTGGGTTTGGTGGGCCGGACAGGATGTTACGCAATGGCGAGGTCAGATTGTTGTAGAGGATTTGCAGGGCATGGTAGAGGAGGTATGCCACGAGGGTCGCGGTGACGGGGAGGAGTATCTGGGTGATCATGGTGGGCGGCCGCTGCTGCCCATTCACAAACGGCGCCTGGCCTTTATGGTTCACACGAGCACTCTCACGACTCGCTCGCCTATCTGTCAAGCCGTTCTGTCCTATTGATTAACTGCTTATTGGCAGCCCGCGGCACCGGCAGCCGCCGGGTAATATTCTGAATGTGAGCATCGGCAGAGTGCGGAAAAGCGCTTCGGGAGTTGTGATACAATTTCGGTTGTGCAGCAATTTGTTCTCAAGGCTGGTCTCTTTGAGGTCGACAGAGTCGAAGAGTAAGAGCGTGTCCGAGTCGGTCTACGTTTTGCGCCATGCGAATCCTTGGAATTGGGCAATAAGCAACATAGTTATTCGAAGCAGCTCCATGACCGATATAACATAATCAAGCGGTTGTTCCGATATTGGATTTGTTTGACTTGGAGTTGGAGACGAACGCTAAACGTATCCTTTGCTCGTTCGCCGCTCGCGTCTCTTCTGAGAATGTCGTCGCAGCCAACGTCAACCCGGGGCTGCAGAGTTGTTCCCCGATATGCTATCCGTCATGCGCTCTTCTATTTGGTCCATAAACCATACAGTTTGTCGAGAAGGATATGTCCTGGGTGACTCTCGGAAAAGCCGTCCGAAGTCAATGACTCGTCACGGGAGGGTTTGCGGGACAAAGTGCTGGATATTATTGGCAAGGTAGAGCTGCAAGTGTGTTTCAAATTCATGGCACAGAACCAGAGCACTGCAGAAGATGAGTCGCTGTTAGCATATCATATATGACCCGCCACTCACCAACATATTACTCTTCATCCATCCGATTCTTCATCTGATTCTTCATCCGATACTTCATCCTCCGGCTCAGCCCACTCCCTCCAACTGTACTCCCTCCCATCTGCCCTATGGACATCCATGCACTCCTGACAAGCAGTGAAAATCCAGCCCCCACTCGTCGCCAGCCGCCCGTCCTCCCCACACCGTTCGCAAATCAAGAATGATTCTGCCTCGGCCCTATGCTGCGCGTTCCACGCTTTGGAGTCGCCATGGCTCAGATAGGCCCGCAGGCCCGCAAATTTCTCCTTGATTTGCGCAAAGCCGACGGAGCTGGTGGGGTCGTGGATGCGTTTGCAAAGTCGTCGTAGAAGAGGCTCCCAGCCATTGTCAATGCTGCATTCCAGATCCGAGTAGCGAAAGAGATAAGGGAAGTCGGCCTGGAGTTTCGTTCGCAGTGCGGGATGCATTTTGACAATGCAGAGCGAAAGCAAAGTGTGAGCTTGTGGCGGTGCACTGGACATCATCTTGAAAGCATACCGTGGCTACTCCTGCGACGGATACCTAAGTATTCTTCCGGGCACAAACATGGCTTCCGATGGCAACGAAGATCTATATGCGCCAAATCCTTCTCTGCTTCGTCAACTCCTTCCACCTCCCGACGCCCCTTCCTCTCAGCACCGAACGGCATTAGCCAGGATTGACAAAGAGCTCGTCGCATTCACGCATTACACCGACAACTACCGTTTACAGCTGGACACTGCCCGAACAGCCATTCTGGAATCACTCTCCCGCACAAGCTTCCCATTCAACACCCTCCCCGTCGAAATTATCACCTACATATTTATCGAATGCTTGCCCAAGAATGGCTACGTGCGTCCGTCGACGAGATCAGCTCCGCTGCTATTCACCCGGGTTTGTCGTGGCTGGAGGCACATTGCGCTCACGACCACGGAGCTTTGGCTCGGTCTGGAATGGGAGCTGATGAAAACCGGCAGCGGCAAACGTGAAGCACAGCGGGCGGCGCAACAGGAAGACGGGTTGAAGGAATGGATTGCGAGAGCAAAATGGCATCCGATGTCTCTGCGCCTTCCGATTCCGCGTCAAGTATGGGATCCGCTCCTTGCTAGAATTAACTCAGCCATGCTTCCCTTATAGACCTCAAGCGGTCGGCCAGTGATGCCCAAGGCAATCGAAAAATTATTCCCTCGTCTCGTACATCTTCGGGTCGACATTCCCTCCGCTATGTTCAATACTTTCGTCAGGAAGCCGACCAACGGAGAATTGGCCACCGTCAACACCATCACTGCCAATCTCAACCGCAAGGCATTGCGAGACGTGCTGGCTGGCTGTCCGCAATTGCGCGAGCTCCACCTCCTCCCCGACTCGGCAGAAATATCGATTGCGGCCCCAGCTCTGCACAAGCTGCGGATCGACTCCGAAATATCGGTCGTGCAACTACTCAAGACTCTTCGAGACTGCCCGCAGCTCTTCCATATGCATTGTTATCTCCAAGACGACGGAGAAGAACTGGGCGAGCCAGATGTGGATCTGCTCCAGCCTCTGTCTCTTCCTCAGCTCCATTCGCTCAGTATTACCATGGATTGTCATGTTGTTGCCGAAGAGTTCCTATTCCGCAATCTGGAAACACTCCCAAATCTGACAAGCGTCCGGATCGAACAGGCCGAAAAACTCGGTCGCGTGTACGACTTGCTCGACCGTTCCGCCTGTACGGGACTCCGCTACCTATACTGCGACTTGACGATGGATGACGATTGGCACAGAGGGCGCGACCCGCCGATCATGGGCCGCTGGCCGAGCCTCGAAGTATTCGAAGCCGACTTGACGCTTGAAATGATGCCCGACTTCTTTGCCAGACTTGCTGCCGCCCCTGGAACCATGCTCCCCCGTCTCCGCAAACTCAAAATCTACATCCGCGTGCCGCTGAGCTCTCTGTATACCACGACCAGCACCCTGAATCTCGGTCCGATGCTCGATTTTCTCGCGGCCCGGTGCACGCCCGGGGGCCTGGAGGCCCTGTGGATCTTCCTCAGCGATGTCGACCCCGCCGGCCTGTCTTCGTGGCATCCCCACGAGGTGTTTGTCAAGCGCATCCTCCCGCTCATCGAGAACGGTCTCGACTTCGCGTTCCTCGTCAGCGATTACCTGCAGAATGTCGATGTCTGGCCAGCTGAAAGATCATATCTCAAAGGTTTGCGTTTGTTGTCCCTCGTCAGCTGCTGAGGATACATTCTTAGACGACTTTGACAAGGATTCTACTTGGATGATCGACTAAGCTCTATCAGAAAAGGTGGTCTTTTTTACAATTGATTGTACTGGTAGTTAGTTTTTAATTGCTTTGCTTAGACACATTTTCAATGGTACTACTCGTAGTACTCTAATACTTTTGTTACGCGTTTACGTCCTTGAGACGCTTAAGCATCTTTGTTATAACTAAAAAACCTGGTTGTCTTAACGTATAACTAGTCGTCGAAGAGTGTGACTAAACACTTGAGATTGCTCCCAACCACCGGGAATCCAAGGTTCCCCACCACCCTGCTACGCACGAGAAGTGCTGGTCCGCACATTTGCCCCTGTTGGGGTTGCTCTCCAGCCTCTCCTGATGTTGGGTCAGACGCCGTATCAGGATAATGCCCCTCCGCGAGCATCCCGCTCTCGTCCACCGTGTGGCCATTGCATCTTACACGAAATTCCAACGTCTCCAAGCGTGCGACATTTACCCTGCGGAGCGCGCTGCGGAGGCGGGAAAAGTCCGGAAGGCCCCAGGACCAGAGGAACATCTGGGTCCGGATCACGTCGACTGTGAGGTTGGCGATGATGTTGTCCATTGGGAGACGCTCTAGGAGCTGGGGCAAGTGGTGCTCGTAGTAAGCGGTCCAGGTACGCGAGTAACCGCTCCCGTCGAACGTCAGGCGCAGCGACGTGAGGGCTGGGAGCGCGGCAAAGTCGACAGAGGCAATGTGGCTGCCTATTAGGGTAGTCAGTCTCGCTCTCGATTCTAGTGCAGGCAGCGTGAATTCACCATCGTACCCAAACTCGACGTGCAGAGCGGCAAGGTTGATGCCAATAGTGCTGATGAATGTTCCCATTAGGGCCAGGCGCGCCGAAGATATGGGCCCCCAGACGTGGACAGTGACGAGCTCCGATACCTGCAGAGCGGTCCAACTGAGGAAACATTCATCGGCCGACTTCGCCTCATCGGAAGGCACTCTGAAGTCCAGAGTCCGGAGGGCGATGGGCGCCTGGTGAGGGTGTGCCGCTGAGTCATGTAAATTCGAGTATGCCGTTCCCCAGTTGACGCTTCCCAGCTTTAAGTGCTTGAGCGCCGGCATGCGCCGGAGCAACGATTTAAATTGTGCCAAATCGGCAAACGCACTGTCGAGTTGGAGGAGCGTGAGGTGGAGAACGTCCGGATGGAGAGCGGTGTCGTCGTCCTCGTTGGAGTCGGGGAGAACTACGAGTGACCGCAATCGCAGCTCTGCGAGCCGGACAAAGCTAGCAAGGGAATGTAGCAGTGCTTTCGCCGGCACTGACGGGGGGCCCCACGATGGGAGCTCAAGATGTCGTGTGTACCGGATGAAGGCATTGTGTGGTGCGCAGAGGAGGACCAGGAAGGTCTGAAGTCCGGATTCAGAGACGATTATCTTGTCGTAGAGCCGGTGGCGAGTTATATGTAGCCACACATGGCAGACCAGGCTGCAGATCCGCAGGGCGCTGTTGTCGGTGACAAGTTGTAGGATGGTATCGTATAGCTCTGGAGGAAGAGGCTCGACCATTCTGTGAGCAATAAGTGTCAATGAGGTTCGCCGTAAGGCCCGTAACCCGTCCAAAGTAGTCTGTTGGTAGGTAGGAGTATGATGAGAAGGCGGGGGGATGGTCGGTTTGCTGTCTTGACGAAACGTCGGGGAATGGTGGTCCCGCGACTGATGATGTCGACAGAGAAGGAGTTGCACGGTCACGTGTCGCAAACAGAGGGTAAACAAAACATTTACCGGACAGCACATTGGTAAAGTACTTAATTAAGCCTGCATAGAAATGCGTCTTGCTGTCGAGGCCACAATTCTCTTTCCACAAGAGAGCCTGGCTACACGTCTCGCTTGCACCGAAATTTTCTACGTGCCGATGGCCCCGGCCAATGATGCCCGAGGATTCCCAGGCATAGCCACCTTTCGTCTCTCATTGCTTCTTCCAACACATATTCCTGGTTTCATAACACGCAAAACACGGTCATCTGGGTGGTTCAAGGCCGATGCATATTCCATATTCTACACAATTAACTTCTTCTATAGTATGAACCATGATGTGAAGGAGAAAAAGAAGAAGAGAATTCTATATTTTTCGTGCCAGATACTCCTCGGCGACCTGCTTCACCTTCGGGTCCACCTTGTCGAGGATCTCCACCACCTCCTCCCATAGGAGCTCCTCCGACTTCTTCCCGAGGTCGCTCAGAACAAAGTCGCTCGGCTCGGTGGGTTTGCTGCCCATGATGAACTGTCCATGCAGCTTCTCTGGGTGGGCAGGCTCAGCTACGGCGCCGAATATGAGCTGTCGGGATCCTTGCTCTGCGGTGAACCCAAGGAGTGCGTGCATAAGCCACACGAGCGGGCGCAGGATGACGGGAAGGTCGCGCGCCAGCTCAGTCTTGCACATCCCGGGGGTGACGGTGTTGACGACAACGCGATGCGGCGAGACGCGGGCAGCAAGAGCACGAGTGAAGAAAACATTCAAGACTATGAGGCACAGTTAGTCGGACTCTGTAGACAAAGGTGCGCCATACGCTTGGTGATTGGATACCTCGCTCTAATTGCGCTGCTTCCGCTAGAAGCTGGGTCAACTACTCGTATTGTCACCAGCAAACGGAATACCTACTTTTCTTGGTGATAGGCCGCCCCGCCCAGGGTCCGTATGATCGGGTCCGAACCAGTCCACACCTTCTTGTCGAAGCTAGCCCAATAGTGGACCTCACTGGAGACAACGACGACGCGCGAGGCGGTGCCGTTTTCTCGCGCAGTTTTGTCCAAAATTGGAAGAAAACGAAGAACAATGAGGGGTGTCGAGAGGTCGGCCACTTGCAGGCTGCAGAAAGAGGATGAACAATTTTTTTTTCGGACACAAACACCTCGTACCTGGTCTCAAAGCCGTCTTTCGTCGGCTGGTACGACAGGGGGCTCACTGCTGCATTTGCGACCAAGATATCGAGGCGGCCCCCGTCCTGCTCGAACTTGTTCACGAAGCTTTTGACAGAACCAAAATCTGCGAGGTCCACAATCCACAGCTCCAATTTGTTGCCGAACTGTGTTGCAGCCTTGACCTCTAAAAAAACTTCAGCATGTCGAAGGGAAGGGACGGCAACACAACTCACTTTCGATGGCAGCTTCTCCGCGACTCTGACTACGACACGCAAGGATAAGCCTGCCAGCATTCATCCGCGCAAAATGGATTGCTGCTTCGAGCCCGAGCCCGGTGTTCGCGCCCAGCACCACGACTGTTTTTCCCGCCAAATCCGCCTCGACGACGGGGGCCGGTGTTTGGAGCTGGAATCGAATCCATGGGGTAAAGCCGAGCTTCATGGTGGGACTATTGGAAGATTGAGAGAGAGCGACTAACAGGGTCAATGCGACTGCTGTTCTCCTGCGGGTCTTTTAACCGCTTCGCCAACTGTCTTGTCGGATGGTGTCCGTGGCCGGCCTCGATACGCGTTCATGTCGCGGCAGGCGCAGATTACGCGTTCATGTTGCGGCGGGCGCATTACGAAGCGATATGACGAGAGCTGTCATCGACGGCTTTTCAAAATGATAACCGATCAGCAACGCAATATTACTTTGTGGGAAACAGGGGGGGGGCATTAAAACAGCTAGAGGCCAACACTACTACCATCAGGAAAAAGCAAACCCCACTCTAGCCAAGGGGGGGGGGGAGTTCTGTAGCACAATGTAGTCAATATAGTATCTCAGTTAAATTCATAGCACAAATGTAGCACTTTGTATACAGTCACGGCGAAATTATAATTCCCCTTCCAAATCGGGTAGTCACCATGTAACACATCAAATAGTGACTGATTGTATACCTTTTGCCTCTTGAACACGCTCATCGTCCTTGTTGACGCGTCTACGCGTTGTTGAGGGCCAAACTCAACACTGCCTCCGCCACCCCGAGCTTCAAATATGCTCAGACTCCCTCATTTTACCCATTTTCTCGCCCATTATGGCCCGAGGTGCCCCTGGTCAAAAGCGCAAAGCCCTCTCGCCAATCCAGCTTGCGATGGCTCAAATTATGCGCGAGTATGGTGAAACACTCGCAGCCATTGCTCAAGACCCTCGTATGGGTGGTGCCAAGCCACGAACCATCCGCAATAGCCTCAAAAGGGTTAGAAACCATGGTGGAGACTTCGAGTATAATGGGCGGAAGGGGAAGTGTGGACGGAAGAGGCTCCTCACAGAGGATGACCTACATGGGGCAGAGATGGCATTCCAGCAGGGAGAGCTGGTGACTGCGGAGGATGCCCGAAGGGTGTTATTTCCAGATGTTGCTGCCCGCACGGTGCGCAACAGTGGTCTCTTTCTTTCTTTCTACTGATGGCAGTCACAGGTACGACAGAATCTCTCCGAGGTTGGGGTGGAAGGGTTCGTTCAACGGCAGAAACTGCCTCTCAAAGACACGCACATCGACCAACGAAGGCTTTTCTTTGCCAAGCACAAGGATTGGGCCGACGACAATTACTTCAAACATGAATACACCGATGAAACCCAACTCTTCCTCACGATGGGTGACGGCAACCGCTGGTGTCGACGTCGGTTTGGAGAGGATGTCCTCAATCAAAATTTCGTTCAGCAGGAGGAGAGGCACGGGCGCTTCGGTGTAAGCATAATGCTGTGGGGAGGGATTCATCCAGAGGGGGTGACAGACCTCATTCTCGTTGAAGGCACAATGGACCGCTTCCAATATGTTGAAATCCTTCAACGCGGTCTTCTTCCCGTGCTTGAGCGGTACAACAATGACCCTCGCTACTCTGATGCCCGCATCATTTTCCAGCAGGACAACGCACCAACACACTCTTCCCTGTACACCAAGGAGTTCCTCTACGATGAGGTGGTCGACACCATGAAATGGCCAGCAAAATCACCCGATTTGTCGCCAATTGAAAATTGCTGGGCCCAGCTCAAGCGACAAGTGCGCAAGCATCATCAATACACAAATGCCAAGACATGCGAAGATCTCTTTTCCATCGCTACCGCAGTCTGGCACTCCCCCGACTTCGTTAAGTATGCCATTCATTGCTACCAGTCTTTCCCTCGTCGTCTCCGAGCCCTACGTGACAATAACTTCTCATGGACTGATTATTAATGCCTCTAATTTGTATCATATATACATACTGTATCTTCTTGGTTGTATTATAGCGTAGCATTGTATAAAAGCACTCTCTTGATTCATTTTGATTGCAATTTCCCGATTTGGAAGGGGAATTATAATTTCGCCGTGACTGTACAGCTTGACCAATACTGTAGCATTATATAGAATATATAGTTTATGCAGGAAACTATAAAAACATTCATCATGGTTACCATCCTTGGTAATTAGAGAGGTTGCGCCACTGCCATTGGAGCCATTCAATGGCTCCAATGGCTCATTAAATGGCCCTTTGCAGTATCTATAGACGGTATTTCTTAATAAAAATTGGAGATTTACTCCATAATAAGGTAACCTATTGTGTCCCAAAATCTGGTCCCCAAAAAGCCAAAAAAAGCAGCCATTGGAGCCATTCAATGGCTGTGGCGCAACCTCTCTAATAACTCTAGTTCAATTACTCCACATCTCATAATAATATAAAATCAATATGTCAAAGATATAGATTGAGATAGAAAGATTGCACTATATCACACTGGGTGCAATGTCAATGGCGGCTGGCAGATGGCAGTCTGATTGACAGCCTGTGTGGCAGACCACAAGGCAGACCCAACGGCGGTTCCAATGGCAGCCAGATTCTCTTTGTTAATTCCTTTGTCTCAAATAGTCCACCTTTTAATTACCTGTTACAACATTTACCATCACTAAGCTCTTCCTGGCTGCAATGCGACAGCCCGGATCCACTGGCCCAGAGGATACCCGTCGCCATGATACGTGAGCTCGGCAAGCCGGATCGGTTGTCCGAGCTAGGCTCCCACGCCATGTCTGTTGCTTCCGAACCACCACTATCAAATCGTCGGAGGTAATGATGGGAGAGCATGAGGCAAGGGCGGAAGGCGGAAGGCGGAAGGCGGAAGGCGGAAGGCGGAAGGCGGAAGGCGGGAAATTGGGAGGGTCTGGCTCGTCTGAGAGAGACCTGGCAGGAAAGTGAGTCGAGTTCCCAGCACATGAATCATGATCTGGCTGAAACTCCAAATGCTGGTGACCCGCACCTTGTCTCCACCATTCCCAAAAAGCGAGGCACAAGGTCTCGCGGCCGCTGTACTGGATCCCACCACTTTTGGTGCTGATCTGACTGGATTCCGAGCGGCACATGCAGCGACAAACTCGCCTTTATGGGCTTCGGAGCACGACGGCTATGTCTGGACTCTGGGAGAACTGGGATCTCGCGTCGCGCCGACTCGCGCGTGGGGATCCCGGACAGCAGGAGTGATGGAAAGGCCCAGCTTGCTGCCCGGCCTCTTCAACCTGCCGTTGTTGCGGTCAACGGACGCCATGACGCCAGGAACCTCGCCAGCGGCCGGGTATGGTCGCAGGGGGCGAAGCTTCGCTGCCGCTTTTGCCTACTTGTGCATTCTGCATGTAGCTTGCAAGAGGCGGAGGGGAGCCCCGCCCGCGCTTAAAGCCTCCGCCGGAATGGTCGGCATGCCGCGCTCTACCTTGGAGAAAACGCTCAGGCTCCATCCCGCAGTTGCTACCCCTGCTTTCGCGCAAACTCCCGCCGCTCGCTGCTGCACTGTCATCACGACAGCACAGGTCACAGAGGCCGCGCAAAAAAACCGCACAGCCGGCCTGTCTCCTACTCCCACTTTCTCTTTCCGCCCGGGCCGTTTCTGCCCATCTTGAGCTCGAATCTTGCAGTAATTGGCCCTAGCGCGCGATCGCGACCGCAGATCGCCGCAAAAATTCACTCGAGGAGAGCCGCCGACGTCCTCGTAAATCCACTGGACTTTCATGGCGATCCACCGGCTGGATGCGAGCCGGAAACCGCCCGTTTCGCCCCGAACAAGCCACGGAGGCCCTCGTCCACGTCGAGGAAGACGCAGAGGACTTATGTCAACGTGTTTGGCGCGTCCTATGCGTCTGCGGCGGGCTGCGTCCGCCATTCTTGTTCTAGGCCTTGTCTTCACCGAGACTCCAGAGCGCTGAGTGCGTTTCTCGGGCGTTCCGCCTGGGATTCTCAGGGATGCGAGGGACGATGTGCCGCTCTATTCCCTGAAATTTGCAGGAGGAACGGGCCATTGGCTCGCCCTGCGCGGCCCGACCTCTGTTTTTTGGCGACCAGCCGCATGGCCTCGGCTGTTGAGGTGCCGGAGCCGGCCGCCCTACCGACGCCCGCGCCGGGCTGTCGCTTTGATGTGCAGGAGGCCGTAGAGCGATTCATCGAAGCGCCAGAATGGCTACGGGCCTGTGGGATCACGGGCTACCCGAGGCCCGCGCCTAACCGGGCGGGTACCCGCACCCGTGCCTGCGGGTACGGGCCAAGTGCGGGTGCGGGTACGGGCCACCCCGGCCAAGTCCGCGGTAAGTCCGGCGGGCATGCAAATACTACCAAGGACATACATAAATTTGATGTGTACGCCGTCCTGCAGGTAAAAAAAAATGATGTATTGTATGTTACATGTATGCTAGTGTATAAATTGTTGTATTCAATTTAATCTACTGGAATCAAATTGACAAAGAGAAGCCTTTGTTCTTTTTTCTTTGTTGAACTGGCCGCCAGTGGAACCGCCGTTGGGCCTGCCTTAAGGTCTCCCAGACAGCCTGTCATCAGGCTGTCATATGCCAACCGCCATTGCCGTTGCCCCCGGTGTCAAGCACATTTCCTAAAGTCAAACCAGCCGGAATTTCCCACAGTAACTTAGGAATAAGATGGCAGCCCCAGTTGATCAGTGTGATAGGGATGATTGAAGCACATCACCAGTTTTGATAAAATGCAGGTGAAATCTTGAACATCCCAAGAGTTTATCTCTCTGGGTAAGTAGTTTAAACCACTCAATATATGGAAGTAGTGTTTCAAAGTGTCCGTATTCCATTGGAAGAGCAAATATAGCCCGGACACGACCTGCAAAAAGGCCTTGAACTAGTCTTTGGGCTAATATTGTCTATTCTCAGTCGGATGCCCCAGTGACTTGAGATGGCCTGCACCCATAGCTGTAATATTTAGCCCCCTGCCTTGTCACGGATAAGACCCGGCCCGTCCTCTCCGGCGCTGGTATCAGGCCACCGCGGGCCCGTAACATGCAGCACGTGATGACGGGGGACATGCACCCCAGTAGGAGGAACGCACACATGAGAAGCACGTGACCGAGAATGACGCGTCGAGCCGTTGCCGAGCCCAACTTAACACCAGGGGTTGGGGAGGAGTGCTAGGAGGTTAGGAGTAGCGCCTGGCCCGCAAGGGATGTCCGACCGT